CATCTAGCCCGGCCCTTACATTGAGCGTCTATATGCCCAAAACGAAAACATTTGAAACACAAAGATGTTTTTGTTATGAAAGGAACCACAGAATGTCTGATCATATATAGACAAAACATGATTCGGCAAAGTCTGACCTTTAAAAGTTATCAAAATTGTGCGTGAAGGAGTCAGAAGGTTATTATTCTCTTTGTTTGTTTGAGTTTGAGTCAAAGAGGAACGAGAGAAGGGGGTTCCTTTTCGTTTATTAAGTCTTTGTACAGAAACAACGTCAATGCTAGATTCGAGGCCATTTAAGATTTCTTTTTCCGAGAGGTCCAGAGAGACACCTCGGATAATGCGAGTCGTTCGATATGATGGAATATAGATAGAATATCCTTTATCTTTCAAAATCCGATTTGAAATTAAACCATTAGCCGCCTCCCAAGTTTTAAAGCGGATATTAATTTTAGAAAAACCAATCTTTTTTAGCTCAATGATATCGTTTTTATTGTCGAAGTAAAGAAGGCGACCAATCGCCAGAGGGTCAATAGCAGAAGGCTTCGAAGTACTATCATTGTCGCTGTTAGAATTATCAAAATTATTTTTCTGGATGATAACGTCGAAGGGGCCCAAGGATCTCGAATCGTAACAGTTTATTTTAACAGAGGAAGAATTCTGAGAATTCTCTGAATTTATGTTTTTATCAGAAGAAAAAGAGGAAATGGAATCAGCCTTACCCTGGCACAGACGACTATCTCCCTCACCCAATATCTGACGCTTACTCACGAATGAATCCAAGTTACAGTCCTTTTTCCTTTTATTTTTGTATTTAGCAGCAGCAGGCTCCTTATCCAACGCACTGGAGAGTAATCTGTCTCCAATATCTACAGTAGGTTCAACCACTGAGGTAGAGCAGTCCATGGCTTCAAGAAGTGGCTGTGAAGCAGTTACAAATACATTAGAATTAAAATTAGGATTATTTATAGAATCTGATACGGAATCCGAGGATGGGGAAAGGGGGGAAGAGAGAGAGCAATAGCGTTAAGTTTATCTTCGTCTGAAAAAACGACAGCGTTAGAATTCGACATTAATAAATTATTGTCTTTGTCATTAAAAGAAGCATTAGAAATATTAGTACGGCTGTTAGCAGGGTCCTGGATGGACATGATAAAAAGGAGTACTGACCGTGCCTTTGCGAAATTTTTGCCACGCGTGATGCGTCGTGTGTTGCCCGTCTTTCGGTAGGAAGGAGACAGAAGACTGTATTCTGTCCTTTTTTACTATCCGAAGCTAGCCGAGCTCACACGTACGCTTACGCATACATCCTCATTACCCCCTCCACGCCGTGTTGCATGTTGCTTGCGGCGGAGATCTGGCAGCTTTGGACAGGAATAGTTCTCAATCTGCCGCCTTATATACCCGGTTGGTTTCCCCCACGCGATATTCCCACACGGTCATGCGTGTTGTAATGGGGTAGGCGGCGATCCTCATTCCGTGGCTCTTAGTCCGCAGCTCGGTTGAGGTGCTCAATCGGCGGCGCTTAGCGCCAAATTGGCGCAAGCGAGCGTTTGCTTAGTAACGGCCTTGCCGTTACAACAGTATTATCATTTGCAGTGTTAAAAATCTCCAGAAGGCGTTCGTGCGCCCCGCGAAAAAAAAATTTGCGTTCTTCCAAATTTTGCGCCCCTCCAAAACTTGCGCCCTACGCTGGAGCGTATGCTGCGTACACTGCGCGACAACGATTCGTTCCGTGGCCCCTCTCTCGCGGGGCAAGGGGAGCGTAGAAGTGACCAATCAGCTGGCAGCGTGGCAATGGCTGATTGGTTAGAAGCTACGCTCCCCTTGCCACGCGAGAGGAACATAGGAACGAATCGTTGTCGCGCAGTGTACTGTCTCGTAACGGCTCCGACTACTATTACTACTAGCTCTTATATAAACGGTTATTTCAAAATACTTACAGAATCTTGGTACTGTGACTAGTGCGACGTATATTCGAGTGCTTCCGCAGAATTTCATTAATCAGCCCATTTCTGGGCTACCTCGTGCCTAAATTTTAATCTTATTCGTTTTGATTCTTGTGTGCCTCCTCTGGACACGAAAAATTTTTGGCGGCCCTATAAATCTTGAGCAAATATTATCACGCGTCACTTCTGGGCGTCATCACGCCTTTGTCTCGAGCCTCGGCCATTGTGCCGCTGGCCTCCCAGCAATTCCTATCCTTTACCTCTTCCTCCTGGAGAGAGGATTTCACCCACGCAACATTCGAAGATCTTTACTGTATTCTCACTGCCTGTAAGTACACTTAGTTTTGCATTTACTACTGAAAATGTCTACTAAAATGGACTTAGAAGATCCTGAAATGTCCGCTGCTCTTGCGTCATTAATCTCAGAGTCCGGATCTACAGTTACTTCTCATACGAAAATCTTAGGCAAGAGACCTAACGATCAGGAATCTTCCTCATCTTCTAACAAAATATCGCGATCAAACACCGAGAGCAGCATTCCGTCTCACCAGCCATCGATTTCTGGATCCGTTACATCTCTAACGGATACTATTAGGAACAATAGATATTCCACTAATAACGTAGGACCATTCGATGTCCACGTGCAGCGGATATCTAATCCAAAGCACAGCTTCATCCCGTGCAAGTGGGAAGAGCTGCTTGTGAGTTAAATATTGACGACATTCTTGAAATAAAAAAAACGGGATTTTCCAAAGCTTCTATTTTTTTCAAGTCAAGAGAAGCCGCAAATGCTCTTGTTAATGAGAGAAAGCTATCCTCAAAAGATCTGGAAGCTTTTATTCCCCCATTTCGCACCTCTAGGAAAGGCATCATTCGACATGTGCCACTTGAGCTTACAGAACAGCAAATTACAGATAACATTAACAGCCCTTTTAAAGTGGTTGCAGTTAACAGACTGAATCGTAGAATCTCTACGCCTTCTCAATCTGACTCCTCATACGATTCAAACTCAGGAGTTTCCTATTCTCCATCATACACTGTTGCGCTCTCCTTCGAAGGGCAAAAAATCCCCAAACACATATATATGTTCCATGTCAGTTATCCGGTGTCTCCTTATGTTGCCAGAGTTTCACGATGCAACAACTGTTTTAGATTCGGACATATCAGAATCAACTGCAAAAGCCAGCCTCGCTGTACCTCGCATTGCGCCGAAAAAGGCCACACTTTCTCAGAAGAAGACTGCCTTCAGAAACGTCATCTTCCCAAGTGCGTTAACTGCTCGGGCGAACATCGTGCTGACTCGCTATCCTGTCCTGAATTCATTCTGCAACAAGAAATAAGGAAGTACGCAGCCTACAGGAATATTTCCCTTATCGACGCCAAAGAGATCTTCAAAGGTAACAGAACTCCCCCCCCTCCTTCTCCTCCTCCTCTGAAGACTTTCCCTCACTAAACTCCCCCCGCTTTTCTATCCATCCCTCAAATCATACTTCACATGCCTATTCCTCTCCGCTTGATTTCACTTCACCTCACCTTTCCTATGCTCGAGCTACAAATCTCCCTTTCCTTACTAACCCTCCTTCTCCTTCTCTTTACTCTCCAGTCCGTAATAATATCACTGTTCCTAAATCTTCTGCCTCCTTCCTCCCCCATCCTCACTCAAATAAATACGTAAAACACAAGCATCCTCAGAATTCTTCCCCTCCTTATTACCTTCCACGTTGTAATCCCTCTGTTTCATTTCCGGTATCCCCTCTTTTTTCTACAATCCCCCCTCTTATTCATTCATCCAAATTTTCCCCTCCTCTTAACCCTCCTCCCTCAGATCCCCCTACTCCTCCTCAAGATGCCCTCAAGCACGTTATCCGCCTTATTATGGAGCTTTTACCCTTAGGGTGCGAACCCATGCAGCGGAATGGCGTAACGCGGAACGAGAGCGGAACCAATCACAAGCGTTCAGTGGTTTTCATCGTTTTTGTCGATTTTCCGCTGTTTTCAACATCCCCTACATCCCCATGGAGCGGAATGAAAATATCGCAGGCCAATCACGAGTTATTATTTCAAAAAGAGTAAAAACACGTTGAAGTTCATTTGACAAATTTTAACATTTTGGTTAATCAATTTAATGAAAAATATATCTAATTCAATATTTATGCACATAATAATACAAACAAATGGCAAAAGCAATATTTATAACTCGTTTTAAGGACGTTCTGCTTTTTTTGGTTACGTTCATTCCGCTCCATGGGGATGTAGGAATTTGGAATCTGCGTAACAGAAGTAACGGAACCGTATATACATACATTAAATTAAAATTCGGTGCAGCGTGTGAAAACAAGGTAGTACAGAATAGAAATTAATAAATTATTGTTAAAGAATTAAAGATAATAGAAATGTATAATTATATAATTTTGTAACCGGGGCAATATATATTTTATAATAAAATATTAAATAGATATATACAAAAATCAGAAATAAATGTAGTAAAGTGTAGTAGACAATCTGCATTTCTTTATTTTATAAATTTTATAGGACGAAATTGCAAAATCCGGCTTTGTAGTGATCTGCAAAACTATACAAGAACTATATTTTTAAAAATTTATGAGAAAATATAACTTTTGAGAAAATGGAAATCAGACAGTGCACTTCCATATATTCCATTTTCTGACTCGAAAAAGTAATATTTTTTCAGGTTTTTTTTCATATTATTCCTTGTATAGTTTCACAGGTCACTACAAAGTCAGATTTTGCAATTTTGCCCTACAACATTTATAAAAAGTAAAAATGTAGATTGTCTACTAGACTATTTCACTACACTCGTTTCTGACTTCTGTATACTCTTAAAATAAATATTGTAATTTTATGTTAATTTATATATGTTGACTAGGATCTATAGGTTACAATGAATTCTAAAACTGCATTATTCTGCATATATCAATATTGGAAGAAATCAAGATTACAAGTTGCAGTAGATCAAAAAGCGGTCCAAAGAAAGCTACTCAAGTTATATGTAATATATAAAAAAATAAAAGAACGTGAGAATATAAAAGAAAAACAAAAAAGAAAGTTTTGGGTGCGTCCTATTTTCAAGCCTGAAAGAAGATTTTTACAAGGCGCCAGTGATAATTTAATTGTAGAAATGTTAAACTCCAATGACCCAAAGTATTGTAATTTCTTGAGGTTGTCATCGATATTATTTGAAAAACTATTGGAGATTGTTGGACCAAAATTTCAGAAACAGTATGCAGTTCGAGAGCCAATTCCACCACGTACACGACTGGAACTTACTTTAAGGTATGATCTGTACATTTTATTTCTCAATTTAAAAACAATGTACACTTCTAAGTATCTCCAAAAGAGATCGGTGTACATTCATTGAAATATTTTCTTCTCCGCGTAGAGAAGAATACATTAAAAATTATTATTTCCCACGAACAACCGCGATGGCTCCAAAGCCGATTTCCTTGAGAATTGATTTACTTTAAGGTATTTAAGCAGTGGAGACAGCATGGCATCCGTGTCGTATGCGTTCCGTGTAGGAAATAATACCACATCAAAAATTATATCTGAAACGTGTCAATGTATTTGGGATGAATTACAAGAAAAAGTTTTTCTCAATCCAACAGCAGAAAATTGGCAGATGGTAGCTAAAGACTTTGAAGAACAATGGAACTATCCTAACTGTATTGGAGCACTTGACGGTAAACATGTTAAAGTTGAGGTAAATATACTATTTTTGTACATATTATAAAAATATACAGGGTGAGTCATTTTAAGTGACGGACTAAAATTTCTCGAAAACTATAGGAGATACAGAAAAATGTTTCAGACAAAAGTTGTATGATTTCAAGGGGGACATAAGACGGTACCATTGGTTTGACCTTGAAGAGTTATTTGAAGGTCACATGAAGGTCACCTTCAATTTCTTAAGTGGAATCTACATTTTCTCTTTACATATTCTTGTAGCTTATCTCGAGAGCTTTCCAAAACACTATAATTAAGTACCTTTTCGTTAAGTACTTTTTGAGTTATAAGGCTTGAAATCATTTCTTAATTTTACATAAATCATAAAATATCTTGTAAAATATTCATTTTTCGATTATCTTATATTACTACTTTTATGTACAAAATAATGAGAGGAATCAATTGGTGTAAAGAAAACACATAGTTGTTTCTAAGAAAAAATATGTAATTTGCAATTAACAATTACATATTTTTTCTTAAAATCAACTGTATATTTTCTTTACACCAATTGATTCCTCTCATTATTTTGTACATAAAAGTAGTAATATAAGATAATCGAAAAATGAATATTTTACAAGATATTTTATGATTTATGTAAAATTAAGAAATGATTTCAAGCCTTATAACTCAAAAAGTACTTAACGAAAAGGTACTTAATTATAGTGTTTTGGAAAGTTCTCGAGATAAGCTACAAGAATATGTAAAGAGAAAATGTAGATTCCACTTAAGAAATTGAAGGTGACCTTCATGTGACCTTCAAATAACTCTTCAAGGTCAAACCAATGGTACCGTCTTATGTCCCCTTGAAACCATACAACTTTTGTCTGAAACATTTTTCTGTATCTCCTATAGTTTTCGAGAAATTTTAGTCCGTCACTTAAAATGACTCACCCTGTATATTATATACGTATTGTGTGTGTGTGTGTGTGTGTGCGTGTGCGTGTGCGTGTGCGTGTGCGTGTGCGTGTGCGTGTGCGTGTGCGTGTGCGTGTGCGTGTGCGTGTGCGTGTGTGTGTGTGTGTGTGTGTGTGTGTGTGTGTGTGTGTGTGTGTTTGTATGTAATGCAATTTTTGAATATGAATTTTATAGCGTTTTTCATTGGCAGAATTAGTGCGCACTGGTTGTCGTTCTATCTTTATTGTTCACTGGAATTAAAAAAAGTTAGAACGACACTCAGTGCGCACTAATTCTGCCAATGAAAAACGCTATTAATTAATTGGTTTGCAGGCCCCACCGAATAGTGGATCCACGTATTACAATTATAAAGGAGACCACAGTATAAATTTAATGACGATTAGCGACGCTAAATATTCTTTCTTGCTGTTGGACATTGGTGCTGAAGGTCGACAAAGCGATGGAGGTGTATTTCGAAAGAGTGAGATTGGTATCCGTTTTGAAAATGGAAATATGAATTTACCCAAACCAACTCAACTAGAAATGAATAAACCGGAACTTCCATATATATTAGTGGCAGATGAGGCTTTTGCCTTAACACCATATATAATGCGACCTTTTCCTCGAAATACACATGATCTTGATCTTGATCTAAGAAAGAAGGTATTTAATTATCGCTTAAGTAGAGCGAGACGAGTAGTCGAAAGCGCTTTTGGATTGCTCGCAACTCGTTGGAGAATTTATCGTAAACCAATAAATACCTCTTTAACAACAGCGATAAAAATTGTGCAAGCTACAACAGCTTTGCATAATTTTATAATCCAATTTGAAGCGTCACTACCTTTAGCAGAAAGAACTTACTGCAGAAATAACCAAGAAGAAAATACAAATTTGATTTATGCAAGTGCATTTACAGAAACAGAGTCACTCAGAGAAAACAGTCAATATGCACAAAGTCAATATGCTGTACAAGTGCGAGAGCATTATACCGATTTTTTTATGAACACTGGTGCAGTCGATTGGCAGTGGGATAAGGTGTTAAGCAATGATTTTTAAATATAAATGTTATTTTTTTCTATTCTTGAATTTGTACACATATTTTATAGTGAATAAAATAAAACTTTGTTAAACTTAATAAAATTATAAAACATCTGATATTTTATCGCTTATATACTATATTTTATAATGTAATATCACTTAATCACTTATTAGCAAATATATCGTAGCGTTAGGGTGGACACATTTCTGAATCTGAAATAAAAATATTATATATATCATAAAAATAGAATAAATGTAAATGAATAAATGTAAAACAATAAAAATGTACATATAAGTCCTATACATGCATACTTATTATGCTTATTATTACATACATATATACTATTATGTATGTGTAATTACCTAATCTGTTTTGAACTTCCATTACCCTGCTCAGAAACTCTATCTGCAATTTTGCTCTTTCATTATAAGGAAGTCGGCGAAGCCCATCAGCTAAACTCAGTGCATAGTTAGAGATTGGATCATTTTGTGCCGCTGGTTCGGCCATTAATGTTGTTAAAAAAACTTCATCTAAACTGTTAGAATCTCTTTTTGATTTTTTTTCTAAAAAAAAAGAAACAAGTAATGTATACAATTATGATAAAAAGTTATAATAATAAAAATAAATGTGTTTATCCAAGAAAAACGGAATTTTTTTGAAATATTTGATTTTAAATTCAAATTTTTTGTAAATTTAAAAATTAAAAATAAATATTTTTTTTCTTTTATAATTCATAATATGCGAATTCGTATCATTATGCAGATTTAGATTTAGATTTATTTTATTCAAAAATTATTTAAAAAATTAAAAAATTAAAATTATTTCAAAAATTATTTAAAAAATTAAAATATAAAATAAACCAAATGTATATTTCATAAAATTATAAGAATTTGTGAAATATACATTTTATTTCTTTTATATTTTTATTTTTTAAATAAATTTTGATAAAGTCTAAGCTGGTATAAGTCTAAGCTGGATAAAATCTAAAACTGCATAATGATACGAATTTACGTTTGTGTATAAGAAAAACAAGTTGTAATAAACATTTAAAGCAAATTTTATATTATTAAACATAATATTAATAATTGTACATACTTTTCGATGAATAGGAATTAGAACTTAATGTAGCACATTCTTCTGCATTCTCAGATGATGATGCAGTGTTCCCATTCTCCGACATATTAAAAGTCGATGCTATTGATGATGCCCGTAGTGTCAATGCCTGTGATATTGATACAGATGGATTGTTTGAGACTGATGAATTTCTGGGCAGAGTGCTTACTGTTCTAATAAAATAAAAAAATAAAAGTCAAAAAATTAATTAACAATTTATTGTTAATAATATATGGTAAGAGCAGCTTCACTGCTATTTCAATGTTAGAAATTCTCAATAAATAAGAAATGAAAAAACTAAACTAAATAAAATGTTACAATAAAATCATTTTACGTGCAAGAACCTAAAGAGAGTGATACATACTGTCTTGTTTCCATACAATCGTTTAAAAAGCTCATGGCCTCGTAAAAACGGAAAGTATTTTTCCGTGCTTTAGGAGCTGCTGATCCACTTGGTATGTACTCGTTGCTTTTCTTTCTATCCTTTGCATAACAGTCCTTTAAATATTTCCATCTCTTTTTGGCAGCGGTAACGTCCATGATGTCTGTCATATTAAAAATATTATAAGAGATAATACTTTTTTACATACAATATTATTTATATATAATACATGAGTCAGTTAAAGTAGTCAGTTAAAGATTTAAAATAATGATCTTAACATTATATTAAAACAGTTGATCTGTATATGTTAATTGTTTTAATTGTGTTATGTTAATTATGTGTAAAAAATAATAACATTGATCAATAAAAATTAAAAATAATAGTTATGCATACCTCCCATCATATTGCAAACTTCTTGCCACAAGGCATTTTTTTTCAAATTTGTTCGCTCAGAAACTGGTAATCGATGATGATATAAAGCAGGTTTCTGAGAAACACATGCTATCAACATTTCATCTGTATCTTGTGAATTAGAACAATTGACTTCAATACCAGGTTTATATCCTGAAAAATATACATATGTTGCAATAATACAGGCATTATTCTCTACTTATTGTTAGTAGTTGTAAATAGATCTGGCTATAATGCGAGAAGGATAAAAAAAGAGAAAAAATAAGAACAAGACATGAAAAAAAAAGAAAAAAGAAAATAATGTTCAAAATTTATTAAAAAAATAAAAATTAACTTACCTATAGTCACAATGTTATTTTCATCAATAATTATTGTGTTAATAGCTTCATATATCATAATCAGAAAAACATGGTGCATTGGTTGAAGTATATCCATGTTATTTGTTAAAATCCATCCACAATATCCACATTTCTTGCTCTGCACAGATTAATTGTAAATACATTTAGTACAGATTATTGCTTTAAAATAGAAAAAGATAGAAAAGTTGTAATGTAAAAATTGTAACACAAATCCAAATACGTACGTGCATACAAGAATAATTAAACTTAAATATTTTTTTACTAATTGTGATAATTACTTACTAATTGTGATAATTTCGTATTCGTACTCATGGTAAATATATTATTCTCTATCTTAATATATATTATATCACATGTATTGCACTGATTGCATTGATTGCACACTTTGAGGTTAAATGTACATACAGTTAGCACCGTTCCGCTAAAATCCATTCCGCTAAAAGCCGTTGAAAACAGCGGAAAATCGACAAAAACGATGAAAACCACTGAACGCTTGTGATTGGTTCCGCTCTCGTTCCGCGTTACGCCATTCCGCTGCATGGGTTCGCCCCCCTTACTCTCCTCTTCTAATCTACCCGAATTTGTTCCTTCTATCATCCATTTTATCCGTAATCTCCCTGCTAGCTCTAACAATCCTTCCTCTCCCCCTTCCACATAATATGAGTCGAATAATCTCTCATAATGATCTTACCCTGCTATAATGGAATTGCCATGGTATTCTTAACAAAATTGACTTCCTCTCCCACATCTGTAAACAATTCGACATCCTTGCGCTGTCCGAAACATGGCTCTCTTCAGATAAAATTTTTTCTCTTAAAGATTTTCACATCCTTCGGAGGGACGGTCCTTCCAATAAATCTGGCGGTGTTCTCCTCGCCATCAAAAATACGATTCCTTTCACAAAGCTTAACTCTATATTTTATCTAGAGGATTCCCTTGAGACGGTGGGAGCAAAAATTTCCTCTTTACATGTCGATTTATTTATCATCTCGCTCTATAGACACCCCTCTAATTCTCCTTCCTTTACTTGGGAAAATCTTTTCGATTCTATTCCATCTCCTGGTCATATCGTCATCACAGGCGATTTTAATGCTCATCGTGTCTCTTGGGGCTGTAATCACAATAATACTGTGGGCATCTCTCTGCTAAACTCTTCCCAAGAATTTTCCCTCTTCCCTATCAATGACGGCACCCTTACTTACATCTCATACTCTGTCCATTCCTCCTCTGTAATCGATTTAACTTTTGTCTCCTCGAGTTTAACTCCCTACTGCACCTGGAACTCCTATGATGACACGATGGGTAGCGATCATATACCAACCATAATTTCTTTCAGTCTTCCTATTCAATCACGCTCCTTCTTTTCCCATAAACTCCCTTCTTCTAAGATTGGTCGTAAGACTCTCTCTGCCGCCTTCTCGCTTTCTTTCTCCTCTCTTTCGGAAAGTATTGATCAAGCCACTTCTCCATCTGAAAAATATGACATCTTTTGCAGCTTTTTAGTTGATACTATTAATTCTTTACTTCCAGCATGCAAATCTTCCAATCTCACTTCTCCTCAGCTTCAACAAAAAAATTCCTTGCTTACCAAATCTCACTCGTCACACCTTACTCGCCCTCCTGCACCTTGGTGGAACGACCTGTTCTCGAGCTGTTGAACTCAGAAAAAAGGCGCTCCGTGCCTTTCGTGGAAATCCCTCTAGCTCAAATTACCTTAACCTCAAAAAACAGGAAGCTTCCATTAGAAAAATCCTTCGACAAGCAAAACGCACGGGCTGGAGGGCCTTCTGTGAGTCTATTACTACCTCTACCAGTATCTCCACACTGTGGCGATTTGTTAGAAGATTTAAGAACAGATTTCTTAATACTATTCCCTCTCTCCCTCTCCTTTTTCAAATGATATCTCACCTGAAATTTCTGACCTCATTAACTCTATCTCCCCTCCTTCATGTCTTTATAAGCTTTCTCTTACTCACCTTTTTTCGAACTATTCTTACTCTTGTCGCATTTTCGACTCTCCCTTTCAGCTCGAGGAACTCCACCATGTTATCTCCGCTCTCAAAAATAAATCCTCTTCCCCCGGAATAGATCAAATAGATTATTTTACGCTTTCTTGCCTTCCCACATCTTACCTCTCAATTTTTCTTTCTATTCTAAACAACCTCTTTTTTGCGGGTGAATTCCCCGATTCATGGACCCATTCACTGATTTTCCTAATTCCAAAATCTTCACCAGGAAAATTTCGCCCTATATCACTCACCTCTTGTTGTCTTAAAATTATGGAAAAGCTTATCCTCCTCAGACTCGACTGGTGGATGGAAAGATACGAAAAATTACCTTCCTCTCAATTTGGATTTCGTAAATTTCGTTCTTGTCAAGACAACCTTTCTATACTCACTACAGAAATACATACCAGTTTTATCCGAGGCACCTTCACTGCATGCCTCTTCTTAGATCTTTCCAATGCTTTTGATGATGTCATTCCTTCTATACTCATCTCTGACCTTGTAGATCTTGGTATGCCTCCGACTCTATGCCAATTTATTTACTCACTTATCCACTTTCGCAGATTACAATTCGTAATTAACAGCGAGCTCTCAGATACTCGTTTCTCCTACAAAGGAGTTCCACAAGGCTCTATCCTTAGCCCTATCCTCTTTAATATCTATATATCCAAATTACGTAAACACATAGGCGAAGATTGTGAGTTAGTACAATTCGCCGACGATATTGCTATCTTCGTTAGCTCTCCCCAGATAGATAAAGCTCTTACTGAACTCGAATCTTCTGCAAATAAAGCTATTAAACACCTCACTGGTAGAGGACTCACAGTATCCCCTTCTAGAACCTCTCTAGTTATATTCACCAAAAAACATATAAATCCATTCGCTTTTTCCATTAAGCTCGGTAATCACACGGTGGAACCGATTTCCATAAATTTCTCGGTATTACCCTTGACTTTCGCCTTTTTGGCCGCAATCACATTCTCTCTCTCTCTACCCGGTGTTCCAAGCTTCTGAATATCCTCAATATGCTGAGAGGTACCTGGTGGGGGGGTGCACCTTCATCTCTTTTAAATATCTATAAAGCTTTAATAAGGGGATCTATGAAATACGGATGCCTTACTTTCCCTTATAATAATCACTCTCTTTATGCGTCATCTTGAATGTATCCAATTGCGCGCTCTGCGTTCTTGCTTGGGCCTCCGCAAAACCACACCTACGAACATCGTTCTAGCGGAAGCTGGCGAGGGTCCCATAAGATTTCGCTTCGAATTTCTCACCTCTAAATACATTTTAAAAACATTTGCTCTTGATTCTCATCCGCTCATTGACAAACTTTTTGCTCTTCTTTGGTATTCACGTAGATCCCGCAAACGTAATTCTTCCGAAAAATTTATTTTATTCAAAGTCTTTAATGTTTATCTTCGACTCAAAATCTATGTCTCAAAATCTGATTACCCAGCAGTTTACTCCATAAGTTATGATTCTCTTATATTTTTCCCTTCTGTTATCATCACACCTCCTTCTGAAGTAGAGAAAATCAAAAATGCACCCATCCCCCAGATATCCTTTATGGAAATCTATAATACGTTAATATCCTCTTCCACCTGTTTTTTTACCGATGCCTCTAAAAATAGATCCGACGACTATGTCGGTTTTGCAACCTACTCTCCTTCTCCTCATTTACAACTACTCTACAAAACTCAGTCTTATTCATCCATCTTTACTGGTGAAGCTCTTGCTATCCTCTATACTCTCGATTACATCTCACTCCATTCTATCAAAAATTCCGTCATTTTTACCGATTCCAAATCTGTTACTGAAGCTCTGCTTTCTGTCAATTTGGCGCATTCCTACAACTATGTAATTTTTGCTATCAAACAAAGACTTTACGATATAAAATTAAAAGGATTGGATAACTCTATTGTCTGGATTCCGGCACACACCGGTATTTTGGGAAATGAAACAGCTGACATACTGGCGAAAAGAGCCATCTCCTCAGGGAAATTATCTGGAAAACAACTTCCTCATTCTGACTTCTTCTCTATCCCTCGGAGAAAATACGTCGAAAGCTCCTCTCGCCTCCTCAAGATCCAAGGCAGATTTAAAGGAACGAAATATTTTGCGTCCTTCAAGGAAATCACATTAAAACCCTGGTTCCATAAACTTAAAATCAACAGAGAAAGTATCGTAACCTGTTGCAGGCTTAGGAGCGATCACTACGCTTTAAATTACAGTCTTAAACGTTGCAAACTCGTTTCAGACTCCCACTGCCAGTGCGGCTACATCATTCAAGATGCGGATCACATATTTTGGAATTGCCCGTTATACGCTGCTCACAGGACATCCCTCTTGAATCGTCTCTCAAGATACAAAGGATTATCACGCCCCTACAAGATTTCAGAACTCTTAATTAATCCTCTCTCTGGGATTATTCATGCCCTAGTTTCCTTTTTAAAAGCTTGTGATTTGCATCTCTGAAAAATACCTCCTCTTGGAATGCTACCCTCTAATTGACCTCTCCTATTATACTTTTACTATTAACTCGTTGTTGGCCAGGATTTCTTGATCGACACCAGATCAGAAGAGGCCATTAAAGTCTAAGAAGAAAATACTTACAGTACGCGGCAACAGCATGCATAGACATGGCACATTTTATTGTCATATTTTAATTTATACATCACATCTCGAAAACGACTTCATTCTATCAAGCGATATCTTGCTTTTTCAATCTAAATTCAAAAGAAAACAATTTTCTAAACTATATATTTATATATATTAACTATATATTTCCCTCCCAAACATAGTTCTTGAAATGTAAACTTGACTGTGGAAATTATTATAATTATTATAATCTAAGATCCAACTTGTTTCATCGTAACATTAACACGTCCCGTGTCGAGCTGATTTTAGATGACTTCTGTTCCGAATCGAATTTAGATTATTTTCCGTTGCCCATGTTATCAGGATTAACAGTTTTGTTAATGGCATATAGCTTACAATACTTATAATATTAAAATCATAGAAATCACAATTATGAAGAAAAAAATAGAAGTTAAAAGGTACTACATAAAAAATTGAATTGACAATTTAAAGTGGAGTGTATATGACTCACATAGCATGGAACGTGTTAATTCGCACTTTGTAACTGTGATTTTTCTACTTAGGATATCATCAATGTTTTGTAGTTCTGGTTAGTATAAAATCATTTACTTACCCTCAATTAATTCTCTTGTCCTTATGAAGAAAATTGGAAAAGCTTTTATTGTACATACATTTTTAAACTTTTACAGAAGCCTTCCCTAGATTATTTTGTTTCTTCTTCTCTCCAAAAATACAATCTTTACATCTGATCATATTGTTACTTAACGCCGACTTGATCTGATACCACGATGGCTGAACTCAAGGACATAACAATATGCTACATTTTGTCTGCTTGATATATACACAACTCACTTTACTAACTACAAGATTAATTGATAGCAATATGAGCAAGAACTTTGCCTGTTCTATGCTAAGGGAAAAAGAATAAGTATTTTTGGACAACTAAATTTTTAACTAAAATGCATGTGTTTAAGATTTTTTTATTTTTTTTACTTTAATTGTTACATATAAAAATTTGAATATTTATGTACATATGTAGCACGTGTTTAACTACTTTTTTAGAAATATATTTTTAGAAGTTTATTTTTACTCTTTAATTAATCTCTAAAATATTCACTACCAATTTTTATCTTCCACGTAATTTGACGCGCGAAACACTCGTATGTTTCAATGTAAAACTTATTCGAGAAGATACAAGATAAAAACATTATATATACTCATATGAAAATATGTAGAGTATGTTTTAAAAAATTAAATATAAGAATATTAAAAAAAATTAAATATTTTTCAAGTTACACTTAAATATTTTTTAAAAATATAATAGAACATCATTGTAATTTACAACAGAATAATAATTAAAGGCAATTTTAAGAGTTACACTTAATAAATTATTTTTAGCTAGATACTTAAAGTAGACTTATAATTAAAAATGTTATATGATTTTACTATAAGAGGAATGATACATATAAAATCAATTACAAAATATACACGATATTCGTATTTCAAGACGTATTTGATAATTTATTTGATTTGTGAGACTATGCAAGCCTGTATCAACTGTCAAATAAACTGTTTCTTTATGCTCAAAAAAATATAATTTTTTGGATTTGATGCCGAAGATTATGTCTTCCCTGTCTATATTTCACATATAATCAATACAATATTTTCCTTATTTTTGTTAACTTTCAAACATATTACTTTTCTAATTCTAATTTATATTCAATACGAATTACGAACTTATTACAAAATTTCTAGTATAATATTAAAAAGTTATGTTTATTTATAGGATGGACCATTTTTTTTTCTTGAAAAATATTTTCTTTGCTATCATATCACAAATGAATGGATACTTTTTCTGAAAGATTCTATTTCGTAGACAACAGTAGAAATTTTTCTCGCTATTATACATTGCAATCACATTTTATATAGAATGTCTAATTAACTTGTAATCAACTTACATTATAAAACACACACATGCGGCGCTATATAATAATTTCTTTTTATTATGCTGCCAGATTTCAGATATATGTGGAAATAAATGCGCGGACCACGTGTATCATAAGTGAAAATAGTAAAAATTAATATGAATCATTACATATACCTAAACTTGACTGTCTATAAAATCTTATATTTATTATGCATACAAAATGTGCGAATTAATCGTATAATCGCCTGATATCGATAAATAAGTATTATGTTTATATATTTGAAAGAAAAAATATGAAGTAAGCAAAAAGTATTATTAACATCTCCATAAAAGAGATTATGTACATACCATTTCGTATTACAAGCATTTATTTACGTGTAAGTGTGTGTGTGTGTGTGTGTGTATTATCTAAATTTACAATATTTCTAATTTAATCCTACATATGATCAAAATCGTTGATGATGTTGATTTGTACATTTATAAACTTTTACTTTGATTACTCACAACTCACGCGCCCGCGCGCATAAATGATCCGAAGATTATAAATCTACAAATTAGCACGTCAGCAACAATTTTGTTTTAAGAGTGTTCTATTTCAAGTTATCAAGTTTGTGAAAACACAATAGTATAGTAATTTATGAAAAAGCAATTTTTTAACATAAAAATTCGTATATAATTTTGTGCAGTTGAACGAGTATACGATATAATAAAAATATAATTTTGAAGATATGTAATAATCACAAAAATTATAGAGACGATTATTTGATATTTATTTTTATCATTATTTTTATATTATTTTAATATTTATTTTTAAAATGTATTGATATTTTATTCAAAACATGCTAATTTTATGAGCTTTAATCTATAGAACAAAGATTGTAAATATTTAAATAGTTTTCTCAATTGTATTATATATTAAATAAAAATAAATGGTCACAAGCGATTTTTATAATGGTTTGCTTGCTAAGTTTGATAATTCGCACATGTTCATTAGAGTTGTTCTCATAGGTATCAGTGTTCGTTTAAGGCAAGGATATCTTACTTCGTTACTCTGTGAGTTCCTTTTATAAACATTGATCATTGTACATGATGTATAAAATATCTTACCAAAAGCAAGATAGCATGTACGCAAGCATACTATAATGAATATAACTAGATGTTATGAAGAATAAATGAAGGACTAGGAATCTTAGTGGATCCTGATGTACTTTGGAACCACTTCCATCTGATCCTTTTGTACCAAGAAACGTTCCATATTTATAAAAATGCTCCAAGAGTGCTTCTTTTTCTACCCATCTGTCGTACAACCATTTAGATAATTGTTCTGGTTCACGAGGAACCTATAACAATATTACATTATATTATGTAAATATCATTGCACGTATTTAAGCAAAAATCGATGTTTCAAGTTAAATCACTTACCACTGAACTAGGAAATAGTCGATAAAATAATACCGTTTCACATGGAGATCTTGAACCAGTTATAATAGTAGGCAAGTCAAGCGGCTTACCTTGTGGATACGCTATTGTTATGTCAAGAATCCAACTAATTTCTGGTTTAGCTACTGTCATATCTGTAGATACAAAATATTAGATTACTAATAATCATAACACTTTTACAATGAGTAAAGTTTTCATGAATATAAATAAATTCTACAAATCTATAAATAAATCAATTTTAATAAAATACAAGAAAATGTTTAATGCATCAAAATACAATCTTACTTGGTCGACAATTTAACTGTTGATCCTGCATGTTCCTGCTTGATATTGGTCCAAGAGTATCAAATATCATTTGCATAGCTCCTACCCTTGGCAAAGTCACATTTTCAAGAATAGGTAAATTGTTTTTCTTAGCGTATTTTTGTGAAGTTTCCCGTCTTTTGCATAGAAAACCTCCTTCTGGGAAAAGTACCATCCATTTTCTATCCCGTGGTATGTAAGACTCTTTAAGATGTTTTTCTAATTGTTTTAAACTTTCTTCTCTTCGTTTACGGCCCTGTAGTTATCTAATATATAATAGTTGAAGATAATAGAGAGAAAGAGAAAGATAATGCATTCTTTTCCACATCAAATCAGAAAAGCAAAAATAGCTATATTTAATTATAGAATAGCAGAAATAGCTATATTTAATGAAATCAGTGAATTTTTAAGAGATTCTTGATCTAGCAATGTAGTTTATTAAATTATATATTATTAGAAATAAATATATCAAATATTTTTATTTTGGAATAGTTTTATCAAAAGCAATAAATCTTAATTGCATGTGTGCTATATTTATTTTTACTGGAAGTATAAAATATGTATTGATTTATTTATACACATTTATATATACAGGACAATAAAATAAGTAGATTTTATTAAAATAATTTATCTGTGTGTGTGTGTGTGTGTGTGTGTGTATACCCGGTAAAAAATTTTTCATGTATATTCATGCAGAATTGAATAATAATTGTACAAAATCATATATAATTGCAACAATATAATATATAAGTAATAAATATATAAGTGCAAAAATATGTATAATTATAAATAATAGAATACAGGACATTATAAATATTTATATACAGGGTGACCCATTTTAACTTAGGCAGCCAAATAACTCGAAAAATAAGCACACTACGAAAAAATGGTTAGAATTAAAATTTCGTCATTTCGAGGGGGACGTACAATGACGTTAAAATCAGCCCCCCCACCCCTCCCCCTGGGCGGTGAGGGGGGGCAAGTTTGAAATCTTAAATGGGAACCCCTATTTTTCATTGCATATTCTTGTAGCTTATCTCGAGAGCTTTCCAAAACACTATAATTAAGTACCTTTTTATTAAGTACTTTTTGAGTTATAAGGCTTGAAATAATTTCTTAATTTTACATAAACCATAAAATATCTAGTAAACCATTCATTTTTCGATTATCTTACCTTCATACTTTTATGTACAAAATAATGAGAGGAATCAATTGGTGTAAAGAAAACATACAGTTGTTTTTAAGAAAAAATATGGAATTGTTAATTGCAAATTACATATTTTTTCTTAGAAACAACTATGTGTTTTCTTTACACCAATTGATTCCTCTCATTATTTTGTACATAAAAGTATGAAGGTAAGATAATCGAAAAATGAATGGTTTACTAGATATTTTATGGTTTATGTAAAATTAAGAAATTATTTCAAGCCTTATAACTCAAAAAGTACTTAATAAAAAGGTACTTAATTATAGTGTTTTGGAAAGCTCTCGAGATAAGCTACAAGAATATGCAATGAAAAATAGGGGTTCCCATTTAAGATTTCAAACTTGCCCCCCCTCACCGCCCAGGGGGAGGGGTGGGGGGGCTGATTTTAACGTCATTGTACGTCCCCCTCGAAATGACGAAATTTTGATTGTAACCATTTTTTCGTAGTGTGCTTATTTTTCGAGTTATTTGGCTGCCTAATTTAAAATGGGTCACCCTGTATAAGTGCAATAACTCTTACATATAATTAAATATAAGTGCGCATTTTGCATACTTGTATATAATGTTGTGTACAATGTATTTACAAATTGTATACAATGTTTTATGTATAATTATACATGAATTTCTGTTAGTTAAATATATAATTATATGTAAGCCTTGCGTCATATATAAATATGTATAAATAACAAATATAGTTCAGATACAATCATACATAATTGTATTATATAATTTCGATTCTATATAAATGAGAAATTTTGATCAAAATGTATACAGGGTGACCCATTTTAATCTTCCCACCTAAATTTCTCGGAACCTAAGCAAGATAGAGAAAAATGTTTTAGACAAAAGTTTATAGTTTCAAGGGGGACATAAGATAGTGTCATTAGTTTGATCTTGAAGAGCCACCTGAAGGACACGCGAAGGTCAGCTCCAACTTTTTAAATGGGACACTCTATATGCTTTTGCATATTCTTGTAGCTCATCTCAAGAGCTTTCCAAAACACTATAATTAAGTTAGTTTTCATTAAGTACTTTCCAAGTTATGAGGCTTGAAATCATTTTTTAATTTTACATAAACTGTAAAATATCTTGTAAAATATTCATTTTTCGATTATTTTACCTTAATACTTTTATGTACAAAATAATGAGAGGAATCAATTGGTGTAAAGAAAAGACATAGTTATTTTTAAGAAAAAATATGTAATTGTTAATTGCAAATTACATTTTTTTTTTCGAAACAGCTATGAGTTTTCTTTACACCAATTGATTCTTCTCATTATTTTGTACATAAAAGTATTAAGGTAAAATAATCGAAAAATGAATATTTTACAAGATATTTTACGGTTTATGTAAAATTAAAAAATGATTTCAAGCCTCATAACTTGGAAAGTACTTAATGAAAACTAACTTAATTATATATTAATGAAAACTAACTTTTGTCTAAAACATTTTTCTCTATTTTGCTTAGGTTCCGAGAAATTTAGGTGGGGAGATTAAAATGGGTCACCCTGTATGTATCTTTCCCTCAATGCACTCATGAACAACGGATAAGTGAAACATTTTGTTTTGTGCTTAATGATCCCCAGGAAAAAAAAGGCCATGTCTATTTATATAAAAAAAGTAAAATTATATACAGTCTTATACGATTATATATAATATCACATATGATTTTATCAGAGCATACGTTTTTGTATACGCTTAGATATAATGTATATAATCAGTTTTGTTTAGTTATATCTGAAAAATTTTTTACCGGGTATATATATTGTTATGAAGTGATTGTAATGGAAAAAGTAAATTTGATAATTTTTTTGACATAAATTTAATAATTATTTTTGTACTTTGCAAACCTATATAAACATAATTTTAATAATGTCTGTGCAAGAAAACATAAAGAGAACATTATATTGGTCCAATAAAGAAATACAGATATACATATAAACGACATTAAATTTTTATAAATTAATAAACAATTTTAATAAAGTGAATATATAAAAAGGAAAATCAAGAAAGGATTTTTTTTATTTACATTTACAAACTTTTCAGACAAAAATTTGCAATTTTTTAAAAAATGTTCTTTATATTACGATTTAAAATTATAATCAAAATTATTATATACTTTAGTGATGTTAATATCAAAATATTATACAAAGTAGAGCATTTAAAATACTACAATCTGTTATTTCTGAAATTATAACAAAAAATATTTTAGATTGAAAAAATAAAGATATTAATTTGATCTTAGAGATGTCAACATTATGTAAAGATTAATTTAGTTTTTTAAATAGAACTAACTTAGTTTTATATAAATCAACTCTTCACAATATTCAATATGAAAGTTATATATAAAAATTAGGATAAAATGGCTAAAAATTGAATAGTTACGAGATATTTTATATTTTAATTTTTGAAAAGTAAGTTTTTTCAAAAAATATGAATTTGCAATAAGTAGCTACATATTTTATAAATAGTTATGTGTTTTCCTTACACCAATTGATTCCTCTTATTATGTAATGCACAAAACTATTGAGATAAGATCAAAAATGAATATTTTACGAGATATTTTTTATAATTTATATAAAATTATCAAATTAAAATATGAAATATCTCGCAAATTATTCAATTTTCATCTTGTAACTTATGACACTTATAACTTTACAATGAATATTGCAAGAAATGAATTTATAAAAATTAAAAATGAATGAAATTGAAAAATAAAATTGAATTTAAAAAAATTAGAATGATTATTTTAAAATACATAGATTGACCTTCATATGATGTTGGCATCTATAATCAAGATTAAATTAATCACTGTCTTTTTCCCTGCTTCAAACTAAGCAATTTTTGTGTAAACATTTTCTGCTATAATTAATGCTTACTTTCAAAAATAACAAATTATAATACTTTAAATGTTACATATAATATAATTCTATGTATATAGTGTTTTTGTTATATTTTATTAATACCAAAAAAAAATATATAAAAATATAAATTTTAAATGTTTAATTTCTAATAGCATTACAAAAAATAGTGAATGAAAGTTGCAATGAAAGTAATAATTCATTACATTTTTAGTAATAATAATGTGAGTAATAATAATAGTAATGACTAATTGTTTTCCAAAATTAATAATTAATAATTTTTATTATTAATATACAGGGTGAGTCATTTTAATCAATACACTCGAATATCTCGAAAACAGCACTCTTCAGAAAGAAATGTTTCAAACAAAAATTGTAGGGTGTGAAGGGGGACATAAGATGGTAGCATTGGTTTGACCTTGGAAAGTCATTTGAAGGTCACATAAAAGTCAATTTCAATTTCTTAAATTGAACCCACTATTTTTCATTACATATTCTTGTAGCTTATCTCGAGAGCTTTCCACAACACTACAGACAAATGTTTTTTCATTAAGTACTTTTTGAGTTATAAGGCTTCAAAGTTTGCAGTACTTCGATATAAAATGCAAAATATCTCGTAAAATATTTAGTTTTCGGTAGTCTTACCCTAATACTTTTATGCACAGGATAATGAGACAAAACTATTGGTGCAAAGAAAACGTATGATTGTTTATAATAAAAAATGTGTAATTTGCAATGCACTTTTTGTTATAAACAATCATGCGTTTTCTTTGCACCAATAGTTTTGTCTCATTATCCTGTGCATAAAAGTATTAGGGTAAGACTACCGAAAACTAAATATTTTACGAGATATTTTGCATATATCGAAGTACTGCAAACTTTGAAGCCTTATAACTCAAAAAGTACTTAATGAAAAAACATTTGTCTGTAGTGTTTTGGAAAGCTCTCGAGATAAGCTACAAGAATATGTAATGAAAAATAGTGGGTTCAATTTAAGAAATTGAAGGTGACTTTTATGTGACCTTCAAATGACTTTCCAAGGTCAAACCAATGCTACCATCTTATGTCCCCCTTCATACTCTACAATTTTTGTTTGAAACATTTCTTTCTGAAGAGTGCTGTTTTCGAGATATTCGAGTGTATTGATTAAAATGACTCACCCTGTATATTATATATATTATATTTATATATATATTTATATATATAATATATATTATACGATAATAATTTTTCAGAAAAAAAGAACGATAATGAATTACTATAAAATATAATTTTCTTAACTATAATAATTTGATTGTTTTATATTTTATAAATACGAGTGGTGGCATATGAAAAAAATTAATTTTCATATTTTCCAAGAAAAAGATTTACTTGATTTTACTTGATTTCTCGTTTCTATATTTCTCATTCATGATTTTATTGACTCAATATGACTGCAATGAACTCCAAGGAAATTAAGAAAAGCTTATACTTACCGATACAATAAAGAAATCTTGATGTAATATAGAAACTATCCCAAAATTAGTAAATTTGAACACCCTATCCATTATCCACATTAAATTGGGTAAAACATTTGGTTTGGCATTAAATGTTGTCATTAATATAGGAACATCACCAGTGCTCTGATGATTTGCTATAACTAATGTTTTTTCATTTATAATCTGCTGTATGTCATCACCTTGTTCTATTACTGTTGGACAAAAGATAATCACACCTTAAGTCTAAAACAGCTAAGTCTAAGCAACTTCTTCAATTTGTATATTAATATTAATACTTACTGTCGTAACCTGCAGACCAAGTCCACATTGATACCATTGCCAACAACCAGTGGAAAAATAGGCCTTCGATTCGCCAATATACTTGAGGTTGATATACTTTCACAGGAAACAATAACATCATCCATACTACATATGTAGGTATACAATAGACATTGTTTAATATCACAAATGCCGTTCGAGCAACACATTTCAGTAAAGTCACTACGTTGCTAATTATTCTGCAAGATATATATTCCAGTTAAGATTTCTATATCATATGTTTAAATATCTTCAAATCAATTATTGATTTACTTTAACAAAAATAGATTATATAGATTATAATCAAATTTATGTATTCCTTAGTATCTTTTATTACTATATATAAATTATTATTATATAAATTATTTTTTATTTTAAAATAATATTAAATACCTTATAAGTAGCTTATGCTAGAAAAGTTGGAATTGTTTAAGAATTATTAAGATGAGAGAGTCAAGTTAATAATTGCTTAATTTAGTAGAAACGATTCAATAGAGATAGAGAAGACAGCAAATATTAAAAAAGAAATTATTTTATATAGAAACATTTTGTTACCTTTTACCTCTTTATTTATAAACATAAATGGATGTTTATACATTATATACATTACGTACGTTATATACATTATGTACATTATGTGCAAATTAATATTTTATATTAGAATAATTTTACACATACAAATAAACTTATATTATAATAAAGCTTATGTTATGTATGTGATTAAAATTACAAAAAATATGAATGTTTTGAAGATATGCAATTGTAACAAACAATTCTTCATTAATATAAAAAATATATGTATATTATTTTATATCTTGAATATAAGCGTATTTTGTACAATGTTTTATATAAATACGTATTTAAATATAAAGAATAAATCCATTAATACTAACTGCAATTGTTCAGATTTTTTTATTTAATATATATGAATTATATATGATACATATATAAAATAAATAAACATGATATAAATATATACAAAATATAAATGTATGTAAAAAATAAAAGCTAAAAAAAAATTTTTCTGATTTATTCTAAAATTTTTTTATAACTTATTAATTATTATTAGTGCACTATAATTATATATAATTATTATATAATTAATAAAATTAAATAATTTTTATATATATAATAAATATAGATTATAATTACATATATCTAAAAATAACAAAAAAAAAAATATTTTCTTGTTAATATAAATGTTTTCTATTATAATAGAATTTTACATTGAAACTTAATCATTCAAGGAGGAGTAAATCTCTGTATGCAATTACAGCATTAAAGAATCAAGCACAGTACAGTAGAATTCAAATTGTATTATTTCAAACAGTAGCATTAATAACATAGTTGTTTTAAGAAAATGTAGAACACATGTATATTAACAAATTTAGAAACTGAAATTGCGTAAATAATTATATTTTGTTAATAATTAATAAATCATATGAAAAAATTAATATAAATGTTCTTAATAAAATAAATTCTTGTTCATATAATTTTAACCAAATGCTAAAAAAGACAATTATACTATATTATATATATATATATATAATGTGTATATGTATATGGGTATGTATGTGTATATATTTGTATATATTAGTATAGTTGAAACTCTCTTAGTATTTGGTTAAAATTTTTGAAATAATTACATTTTATATTATTTAATTGTAACAACAATTACTGATAATTTATTAATTATTTTTTCTTTTCTGTACATATCTATCTGTATATATCTATATACATATATATGTATATAATGTATGTATGGATATGATTTATTTATCTCTTTTCTTGCTCATTTTCTTCGTTCACATGATATAAGGTTAGGATTGGACATACGTTTATTCTCATGAAATATACAAGTATTTTGCTGCGTTATTTATCTTAGAAAACGAGAACGTTTTCATCTTACAATGTGCGTTATATATGAATATTTAGTAATTTGTGAGAGAAAATGTAACAAAAATCGCAAAAGATCGTGTATAACTTATACGAATGACGGATGTCTTTACCTGACAAAAGTAGAGGAGGCAGAGTCAGTCATTTTCGAGAACCACCATCCGTTGCAAAAACTCGAGGAAATCTCATACACTTTTTTCTCACCATAGCCTTCGCCTCATGTGCGGTTTACATAATAAATCATTGTCCCAAATGAAACGTGCATTTCGACAAATTGTTTACACATCAAGAACTACCGCAACGCCGACATAGGTGATAGGTATATATTCATGGAATTCAATAAATATATACATGTATATGTGTATGTATGTGTACGTGTGTATGTGTACGTGTGTTATGTATACGATCGGTCAATCTTCTATTTTTCTACTGTATAATCCTTTTGCTGGACGCTTTATTCATCGTTATAATGAAAGTTGTCAATGCTAAAAGTATTTTTCATATTTACCGCTGATTAGACTTTAAATGTTGATCTCTCTCACGTGTTAAAGAAATATTATATTATTCATCATTTTTTCCTGTACTTTTGTGTTCTACAATAATGTAAAATCATGCCAGTATGTAATTCACTGGAATGGCGGTTTGATTCGGCTCGGTTCGACTCGATTCGGTTCTGGAGTCTCGACACGTGTCAGTTTGAGCTTGATTGATATCTCAATTTATAATTTATAATCAGTACGTTACCTTCAAACGCAGTAACTATTTATCACGATATAAATATCACTGTTTCTTGTGAATAATATATTAAGACTGAAGGAACATTCTTAACATAAAAACTCCAAATCCCTGTTAAATTTCGTTAAATTCTACGAATATTATTATTAATACATGATTATTTCCATTGATATATATATATATATATATATATATATATATATATATATATAGATTTAAATCAATGCCGACTATCGCGCCTTTTCCCTCTTATTTAAAAAAACATAACATTTAATTATTTTAAATTTAAATTATTTAAATATTTTAAATTAGAAAAATTTTTTTCCATAATAAAGATTTAACAAAGTAAAATTTCATCATATGCAGATAAAATATTTAGTAAACATATCCAGACAAATTTATATAGCGTATAACATGTGTATAAGAAAATTGATGGATTCATAAAGCGGGGAGTATAGACTTTTGCATAAGCGCGTAACCATAAGTATAAGGAAATTAATTGGTCCCCAAGTATGTTCATAAGAAAATCAATCAATCAATTTTCTTATGCTTATGGTTATGCGCTTATGCAAAAGTGTGTGCTGCGGCCTATTTTCTTATACACTTGTGGACAATCAATTTCCTCATGCTTATGTTTATGCCAATGCAAAAGCCTGTGCTGCTAGCTTAGGGCCTCCGCACAAGGTGTTCCGTATCGCATTACGTTCCGTATAGATTGTAAACTTGACTGTGATTGGTCAATCTCCTAAGGCTTAAAGCTTAAATTGCCTATTGTAGACCCGGCCTAATGCGATACGGAACACCTTGTGCGGAGGCCCTAAAGTTGTAAAGGCTTTCGCACATGAATTGCCGTAATCATAAACATAAAACGTAAACGTAAGCTGAAGAACCAATCAGAAATTATATTGCTTTATGTATCCTAGAAGACGATAGAAATGATGTAAATTGGTTAAAATCCTAGTTATTTCTGCTTACGGCTAACTTTATCATCATTTCTATCGTCTTCTAGGATGGGATTAATGCATTAAAGCTGTAACTCAATAAATTGACCAATCATAGTCGAGTATTCTCTTAATACTTGACTGTGATTGGTCAATTCCTTAAGTTACAGTTTTAATCCATTAATCCTATTGCCATTGTAGATGACGTGTAAGGTTGTAAGGCGTAAGACTCAAAAAATTCACAGTCGAGTATTCTCTTAATACTTGACTGTGATTGGTCAATTTCTTGAGTCTAAAGGTCGCAGCACACACTTTTGCATAAGTGCATAACCATAAGCATAAGAAAATTGATTGGTTCATTTTCTTATGCATATACTTGGGGACCAATCAATTTCCTTATGCTTATGGTTATGCGCTTATCCCAAAGTGTGTGCTGCGGCCTTTAGGGCCTATCCAGACAAACTTGCATAAGTGCATATGCATAACATAAGATCATATGGACCAATGAGCATCGAGTATTAAGTCGCCATATTGACTTATATAACATAATACTCGATGCTCATTGGTCCATGTGGTCTTATGTTATGCATATGCACCTATGCAAGTTTGTCTGGATAGGCCCTTACGCCTTACAATCTTATGCTACGGCCATTATAGAATGATCTTAAGGTGTAAAGCCCGTGGGACACACGAAAAAATGTAAGCAGCGAAACGTAGTCAGTAAAGCGTCGTCTACAATGGCAGTAGGATTAATGAATTAAAGCTGTAACTCAATAAATTGACCAATCACAGTCAAGTATTCTCTTAATGCTTGACTATGATTGGTCAATTCCTTAAGTTACAGCTTTAATCCATTAGGCCCAGTTCCACAATCCAGTTAATCCGAGTTTAAGTAGTGAATGGACCAATTAGGACCCAGTTTAACGTATTAAACTCGGATTAACTCGAGTTGTGGAACCGGGCCTTAATTCTACTGCCATTGTAGACGACGTGTAAAGCCTGGAGCACATAAAAAAAACTTAGACAGTAAACTTAAGACTTAAACGAATCGACCAATCATAGTCGAGCAATAAGACAATGGCTGTGGTAATTTTGGTTCCCGCCCAAGGCGGGAAACAAAATTACCAATGAGATACTAGCAAAAGAGACAGACATAGGCGTCCCATGTAGTACCTCTCTCTCTACAGCGGGCGCTCGCCTATCTATCGCGATGCTCAGTCCAGTGTATATGTCGATGGTGGAAACCATAGACCTTACAGATATGGACTGGCAATTGCCTATAGTTTCTGTAGAGAAGCAGTGTCCGGAGGAGGTTAGAGAGAGAAACATACTTTTTAGTACTTCTCTTTCTACAAGTGTCCGAAAGTATGCATTGCACTTGTAGAAAGAGAAGTACCAAAAAGTATGTTTCTCTCTCTAACCTCCTCCGGACACAGTCTGATACGTATTGCCAATCCATACTTATAAGGTCTATGGTGGAAACGCACCCCCCAATATTGCATCCTTGGGTCTGTTCGTTTTAGCTGCACTGCTGCATTAGTGCAATTGGTTAAGGTGCAATTTCATTGACGCTACTTTTTAGCGTCAATAAAATTGCACCTTTAGAGTGAAGGAAAGTATGTTTGTCTCTTTCTAACTTATTGCACTAGTGCAGCAGTGCAGCTAAAACGAATAGACCCCTTATGAGATAGAAATCCAACAAAGAGAATAAAGAAACAGAAGGAAAAAGAAGACTATATATAATAATATATGGAGATTTTAAAGTATAACAGACAAAAATATTAAAAAAAAGGAGATACTCTTTCAAAATCAAAATATAATTTTTTTGTTATAGATGATATCAAATGGAACACTTGTAAAAATAGCAAGTTTGGGAGGATTTATAACAGCAAGTGTGGGTTATGCCTTTCATTATCGTATACAATATGATATTAGAAAGAGCGAATCTCACAAAGATGTAATGAATATCTTTCATGCGCATAAGAAAGCTATATCATATCTTGGAGAACCAGTAACATCAGGTCGCATCACTTATGGCAATGGACAACAAATTCTTGGACAAAAAACAAAGTATAAATGGTTTGAAGTTCCACTTAAAGGCAGTAAAACTAAAGCAAAGTTATATTATGAGATATTATTAGAACATAAAATTGAAGATAAATATGAGATATCTAAAATTGAAATTACTTTTGATAATATACCTGGAAAAACATTCGTAATAAAAGATTGTGAGATAAATGAGTAATAACAAAAAATTCTATTAAAAATATATATAAAATATATAAAGTATGTTAAAATATGATTGTAAGACAATATAAGTTATTTAATTAATTACATAGATGTGAAAATTATAATTAATATTCATTATTATATTAAGTAATTTTTTTGAGAACAATTGAATTAAAATATAAAGTCACATAAGAATTATGAAATGGAAGCAAGATATATATCATTAAGATGTTTGTAGTGGTATATCAGTTACACCCTTAGGCACTCTCAAACCACGTCTGGTATATCCTAAAGCTGCTTGAATAATATGTATGGCTGCTTCTATAGTAATCTTTACATCTTGTGCACTGCCAATTTGTGGATTAACTTCTACTAAGTCTATAGCACTCAATCGGCGCGTTCTGTATATTTCTTCCATAAGATTGATTGCTTCTCTGAGAGACAATCCTCCACGGACTGCAGTTTGTAAACATTCATAGATAGAATAATTGGAATAAGAATTTGTTAATAAAAATGATACATTAATATAATCAACTACCTGGAGTTCCAGTACTAGGTGCTTCGAGAGGATCTAATGCATCTATATCAAAACTAACATGTAAAGATCTTGAGTTATGAGGATCTATCTTATTTAGTGCCATATGTATTACATCGTGAATACCTGAAAACGTTAATCTTAGAGCATATGTATTTTAAGCATAATTGATGCATATAATTATTTTATATACAAACCATAACGTTCTATATCTTCCATGCCAAAAGCAGTAATACCAAATTTTTCAATTACTAATCTTTCATAGCGGTCCACCGATCTCAAACCAATATAAGCTACATTTCTGATGGACAACCTGTAAAAAATTATATATACTAAAAATTATAAAATAACTTAATGTCGCTAGTCGATCATAATCAAAGGATCATTGAAAAAAAGTGTAGTCGACCAAATTGTTTACACTTTAATTCGTTATGCGTGTTATATTATTCAAACCGTTAATTAATTAATTTATTTATTTATAAATCTTTTCCAGTATATACTTGATAAGGACCACAACCATATAGTCGAACAAAAGCGTTATTTAACTAGATTCGAATTTGAGAGAAACTGATGCATCCGTGTGAGACTTCGTCAAGAAACAATTTTGTTAATGTGACTTGTGCAGTTTTGCAAGATTATCGTCTATGCCTGCCCCCTGATTATTATTACATCGGTAAAATTGTTTACACTTTAATTCGTTATGCGTGTTATATTATTCAAACCGTTAATTAATTAATTAATTTATTTATAAATCTTTTCCAGTATATACTTGATAAGGACCACCACAACCATATGGTCGAAACTTCGTATTAATAAACAAATTTCTGGCTAGTTTGGTCGACTACACTTTTTATATATACTAAGTTTATTCTCTTTAATTCATTGATATAAATAATAGTCATCGATTTAAATAATAGAATAAAGTCTAAATGTTCAAACACATTATTCTTACATTGGCATTTGCCAATCCATGTTTGGTAAATATGGCCAATAATCAGCTAATTCAGAAGTTAACAATGCTACAGGCATTCCATGTACATTACCACTCTCACTCGTTTTGTTAGTATTTAAATCTGCATGAGCATCTACCCATAACACTCCTATATCCTGTTTTTCCTGTAAAAAATATATAAATATCCAGATTTAATAGTTTTATTAATTTTTCCTATATACAAACATATTTACTATTAAATACCTTCACATGTCCATCGATAGTGCCAATACTCAAACTGTGATCACCACCGATTGTTAGTGCTTGCCTACCATCTCGTAATACTTGTCGGACTTGTTCAGATAAACGACTTGTACAACTTGCTATGCAACCCAAATGTGACATATTATTTACATCACTTATATTATTTGTATCATATAATATATCACCATAGTCTTGTACATCCAACTCTTTTAAGAAATGAATATAAATTATATAATATTGTACACATATAAGTGTGTATATGAAGGATAAATAATATGTATTGATGATTTTTATACCTAATGTTTTTAATTCATATATTAAATTTGCGGCTCTAATTGCATTTGGTCCATGGGCTACGCCTTCTTTTTCCTGTTAGACTTATTGTCTTCATTTTAATTGATTTTATCAATTTTTTATGCTAGTTTTATGCTAGTTTTCATTGATATTTTCGTTCAATGTATATATATATATATATATATATATATATATATATATATATATACATGTATATATATATATATATACATTGAACGAATATATATATATATATATGTATATATGTATATATAATCTAGATATATAGATAACTTATATTGTGTGTGTATGTATATAATATAATTAGAGTTGGGTAATAACTAGTTGATTAGTTAAAAGTTAAAAAAAAAAGTTAAAAAGTTAATAATTTTTAACTCAACTTAGTTATTTTAAAAAGAGTTAACTTTTAACTTTAACTAATTATTTTTAAAACACATAAACTTAAACTTATTAACTTTCCCCCCAAATTTATTTGATGATTCATATTATTATTATTTAGAATAGTCTAATTTTAAAATTACAATCTAATTTAATATAAAGTGAAATAATGCTTTTCAAAATTTTAACTTTTATCTTAACTAACGTTAATTTAATCTTAACGTAACTTTTATTGAGTTAATTTTTTATTTGTATAACTTTTAACATAACTAAATTAATTTTTTAACCCATTAACTTTAACTTTATTTAGTTTTAAAAAAATATAAACTTACTCAACCCTGAATATAATACACACATACATACATACATACATATACATATATATATATATATATATATATATATATATATATAGATAATATAGTAAATGAGGACTGCAAGTTTTATACTATTTCTTTATTATTATTTACCTGCCCTTTATCGAATGGTACTCCTATTATACCAACTTTTCCACCATAATAACGAATACTTAATTTATTATAAATTTTGCATGCTTTAATTAATATATTCATTTCGTCTTTCCTTGTGACACAGTCATTTAACTTATAAGTGTATAAGAAGAAATGAACACAGTTATTTCACTTATAAGTGTATAAGAAGAAATGAACTATGTGCTCTTTGACCTGCAGATTTGATTTAGTATATCATTGAAACATGTATTTGTTGATAACAGACAAAAAAGACATACAAAACTATGTCTTATCTCAATCATATATGTAGATAATAAGTGTGATAGTAGTGATAAATATATAGATACCCTGTATGTGTGTGTGTATATATATACATATATAATTCCATATTATATACAATTTGTACATAAACTAATTACACTAATTAAATTAGTTTAAAAATGTATAATAATCAAATAGAAATTTTTGAACTGTATAAATATTAATTAAAATCATAATAATCTATATTAAATTTAATTTTAAGTAAATATAATGTATATTATACATTATAAATAACGTATGCGTATATATTGATAATATCCATTTTGAATATGGATAATGTTATATTTTTAAATTTATTATATTTAAAAAATGTAAATATTTTGTAATTTGTTATGTAATAAATATTTATTAACACTTTCTTATATCAAGTTATATTGATTAACATAAGCACTGAAGTGCATATTTCTATTAAATATTTCTTAACATGAAAATTATTTCGGGCCAAGCATTTGTTCAGGTTTGACCCATTGATCAAACTGTTCCGTCGTTATTCCATGTTTCAATGCAGATTCTTTTAGCGTGAGTTTTTCTTTGTGTGCATGCTTAGCAATTGCAGCAGCCTATAAAAAAGTTATAAAAATTTCTAGTAAATATCAATAAACTTGGAATTTAAAACAAATTTTTTCATTTTATTTTACAAGGAATATAAATATATGGATACCTTATCATAACCAATATGTGGATTCAATGCTGTGACAAGCATCAAACTTTCATTTACATTCTTTTGTAATTTCTCAATATTGGGAGTAATGCCTACAATACAGTTCTTTGCAAATGATGAACAGGCATCACCTAATAGTCTTGCAGATCTCAGAGCATTGGCAACCATAATAGGTTTAAAAACATTAAGTTCAAAATGACCATTGCTACCACTGATAGTTATTGTCACATGATTACCCATTACTTGACTGCATACCATAGTCATTGATTCAGCCTGTGTAGGATTTACTTTTCCAGGCATAATAGAACTTCCAGGTTCATTTTCTGGAAGAGATAATTCTCCTAAACCACATCTAGGCCCACTTCCGAGAAATCTAATATCATTTGCAATCTATGCAAATTACATACAAAAAAATATTAATAGAATATAAATTAAGAAACATATTTTTATAATATTAATGTGTGTGTGTGCGTGTATATACCTTCATCAGAGAAACAGCCACTGTATTAAAAGCACCATGTACTTCAACAATCGCATCATGTGCAGCCAGAGCTTCAAATTTATTTGGAGCAGGGACAAATGGTAAACCAGTGAGTTGCGCGACTTTTGCAATTATCTTTTCTACAGCGCCTTTTCGCGCATTTAAACCGGTTCCGACTGCTGTACCACCAAGAGCCAATTGATATAATCTTGGAAGTGTATCCTTCACTCTTTCAATACCATATTTAATCTGTGTAGTATATCCTGTATGAGAAACAAATATAAAATATTTTAATATTTTTTTTTGTAATAAGCTATTTTATAAATAATTAAAAAAAGATATATGCCTGAAAATTCTTGGCCCAATGTTAATGGAACTGCATCTTGGGTATGCGTTCTACCAATTTTTATAATATCTTTCCATTCTTCTGCCTTTTCATTTAATGCTTTGTGCAATCTTTCCAAACCAGGGATTAATACTTTATGAATTTCTAAAGCGACAGCTACATGCATAGCTGATGGAAATGTATCATTGCTACTTTGTGACATATTAACATGATCATTTGGATGCACAGGTTTTTTTGAACCAAGTTCTCCACCAAGTATTTCAATTGCACGATTGGCAATAACCTAAGTATTTTCAATCATTTCTATTAATCAAAGAAATATCATAAACATAATTTGATATAATGTTGAAACTTATTGTGTATGTATATATGTATGTGTGTGTGTGTATGTGTGTGTACACACACACACACATTTTTTATTTTATATATATATATATATATATATATATATATATATATATATACAGGATGGGGCATTTATCTTGAGACAAGATAATATCTCGATTGGAGTCGATTATTTTGAAAAAAGTTTTAGATAAAAGTTGTATGGTTTCAAGGGGGACATAAAATGGTGTCATTAGTTTGATCTTGAAGAGCCACCTGAAGGACACGCGAAGGTCAGCTCCAACTTTTTAAATGGGACACCCTATATGCTTTTGCATATTCTTGTAGCTCATCTCAAGAGCTTTCCAAAACACTATAATTAAGTTAGTTTTCATTAAGTACTTTCCAAGTTATGAGGCTTGAAATCATTTTTTAATTTTACATAAACCGTAAAATATCTTGTAAAATATTCATTTTTCGATTATTTTACCTTAATACTTTTATGTACAAAATAATGAGAAAAATCAATTGGTGTAAAGAAAACTCATAGTTGTTTCGAAAAAAAAAATGTAATTTGCAATTAACAATTACATATTTTTTCTTAAAAATAACTATGTCTTTTCTTTACACCAATTGATTCCTCTCATTATTTTGTACATAAAAGTATTAAGGTAAAATAATCGAAAAATGAATATTTTACAAGATATTTTACGGTTTATGTAAAATTAAAAAATGATTTCAAGCCTCATAACTTGGAAAGTACTTAATGAAAACTAACTTAATTATAGTGTTTTGGAAAGCTCTTGAGATGAGCTACAAGAATATGCAAGAGCATATAGGGTGTCCCATTTAAAAAGTTGGAGCTGACCTTCGCGTGTCCTTCAGGTGGCTCTTCAAGATCAAACTAATAACACCATCTTATGTCCCTCTTGAAACCATACAACTTTTGTCTAAAACTTTTTTCAAAATAATCGACTCCAATCGAGATATTATCTTGTCTCAAGATAAATGCCCCACCCTGTATATATATATATATATTTGTAATTTAACCTCATTGACATTCATGTGGGTTTGTGTTCCAGATCCAGTTTGCCATATAACTAATGGGAAATGATCATTATATAATTTTCCACTTATTACGTCATCTGCAGCTTTACTGATAGCATCAGCAACTTTAGGATCCAAGAAACCACATTCTTTATTCACTTCTGCAGCAGCTTTCTTTAATATACCTAGAGCAACTATTACTCCATACTGCACAAAAGCAATTTATTTAATAAAAAGGAAACTGAAAGATAAATTTGATGAATTATTTACAGTATTACTCTTACAGGCATACGTTCAAATGTATCACCAATTGGAAAATTCATTAATGCCCGAAGAGTTTGTGCGCCATAGTACTTGTCCTTTGGAACTTTTAATTCTCCAAATGTATCTCTTTCTAGTCTGTAATCTCCATGTTCCTGTTCCTAAATATATAATAATATATAGCATAAATAGATAAAGCATCAGAATTATTTTCATATTTTTATTTATTGTTAATTTATATTTTAATATAATAAATATAATTACATATAAGTTATTTAATAATTATTTAAAAAATTTAATTTTAATATTATTAAAATAAAATTATTAAATTACATAAATAAATTTATTTTTACAATATATCATAATATAATTATTATCTAATATAAAATTATTAAATATCAATAAAAATTTTATATTAAATCAATTTACTATAAATATTAATAATCATAAATTATTAAAATTAAAAAATTATAATTTTAAATATAAAATATTTAAATATTAAAAAAATATTTATATTAATTATATTTACTATTATAAAATAATAATTTATAAAACTAATTATTAAATTAAATATTTGTAAAAATAGATTTATAATTAATATTATATTAAAAAAATTTAGAAATGCAAATTCATCTTTTAATATTTCCTAGTAGCAAAAAACGAGTTAGATTTCATAAATATTCCACTTTATATATAATTAAAACATTTTTTATATCAAAACAGATATATACCTTACTGTTCATTGTAACTGTCGAAGTAGATATGTGTAATTTCGGTAGTGAATAACTTCTAATGGTGACAACTTTTTTCGAATTGGACGTCCGAAGCACAGTTGACATATGTCAAGAATACTGGTACGTTCAAGATAAACAATATTGAATGTACATTTTTATTTCAAGGCGAACAATTTACAAGTAAACAATTACTGTAGCGTCCATATATGCGTACGCTCATGATTAAAATAGAGAATACCATGTTGTAAACATGAATAATCGTGTCGCGATTCAGCTGCAATAGGTCCATGGCCTATTGCGATACGCGCGTATCGGACGTATCGAGTCGACCAATGACAAACGATCCGCCGTTTTTGATATGCGGGAGTTGATTTTCTTATGTCTCATGGAGCGAATTATGCGGTAGCGGATTCAGCGGATCGACAATCCACGGGATTATTCTGATAAAGATTATGTTGAAACAGTCTCGTGATTGGTGATCCAGTGATTTCGCTTTCACGTAATCCGCTCCATGGGACATAAAAAGATCAAACTCCGGCGTACTGACACACCCACACAAGCATGCATCTATAAAGTGAAATCTCTTCAAAAGTTTTTTTTCAAATAAGATTGCTTTTTTCTATCAAAAATGAATTCCGAAACTAGCCATTTTCTATTTGGTAAAATGATTTAAACGAAGTTATAATATTTTTTATCAAAAAGAATTACGATGCAAAATATTCCGAATGTATGCATTATATACATTTTATATGAAAAATTAAAAACAAAATAAAAAAACGCGTTTGTCGACCTATATTACTACACATCGCATTATTATAGGTGTTATATTTTCTTTGTCCTCCGTCCTTTTAAAATATTATATATTGCAATAACTGAATTGAGCAAATCACGTGTATAATACGTGTAGTGTATCGCACAGCGATCCGCTCGAATAATGAATTCAGCGGATCATCAGCGTACCAAAAACGGCGGATCGGAGGTCGATACGCCCGATACGCGCGCATGAGATACGCCCGTAATACGCGCCCATGGGACGTCACCCATACACTGGACTGAACATCGCGATAGACAGGCGAGCGCCCGCTGTAGAGAGAGAAGTACTACATGGGAGGCCTATGTCTATCTCTTTTGCTAGTATCTCATTAGTAACTTTGGTTCCCGCTCATCGAGGCGAGAAACAAAATTACCAATGAGATACTAGCAAAAGAGATAGACAGAGGCCTCCCATGTAGTATCTCTCTCTCTACAGCGGGCGCTCGCCTGTCTATCGCAATGCCATGGACGTAAGAAATACAGGGGTGTTTACGACAATTAATCGGATCTCTGATCGGACTGAGCAGTGGTACTCAGCGATAGACTTCCTAAATTTCCCTAGACTAATCCGGATCAATGATGTGTCTTTGAAGTAATCGAATTAGATTAACAGTTATCGAAAGAAATTGCGATCGAGCTGATCAAAAAAATTGTGAAAAACATTATAAGAAATTATAAAAGATACTTTATTATTCTTTTAATTAATATATCTTTATTTATCAAATATATATTAATAAACAAATGTATTTTACTAGAATAAAATGTTTTCTATAAAATAAGAATAAATTGTTAATCTAATTCGATTACTTCAGAGACACATTATTGATTCGGATTAATCTAGGGAAATTTAGAAAGTCTATCGCTGAGTACCACTGCTCAATCCGATCAAAGATCCGATTAATTGTCGTAAACACCTCAGGGCAGAGTGTATTGCTGCGGGGGTGAAGCTCAAAGGGTGAGGGGAAAGAAATATCTATTACAACGGAATGAGGCATGTAAGATAGCAATGGATACCCACACGGCACAAAATACTAAAAGACAACGAAAAGATGTCTTTTCTAAGTCGACTTTTGGACATGGCGAAAAAGACGTCTTATAGATGTATTTTCGTCATGTCGAAAAGACGACTAAAACGAGACGTCCTTTCGTAGACTTTTTAAAGTCTAGAATTTGTACGTCCAAACCCAGACAACACAAGACATTCTATGGACATTCATTTTATGTCCATTTTACGTCCGCACGTCCATGGACATAAAATAAACGTCCATCGTCACATCCGATTTAAAACATCCGTTAACAGTCAATATTTGGACGTCCACAATTTGGATGACAATCCGGAGGTCAAAGTTTCTCGCAAGCACGCAAGCATGTATTAGTTCGTTCATTTACCGCTACGCGACGTGCGATGCGCTATCTTTCTCGTATTTAAGTTTCAGTTATGAGAATTATATAAAGTTTGCAAAAGATAACAAATAAGATTAAAAATGTATTGTTCAATTTAATTTCTGATCTAAAGCACGGGTTTCAGATATTAAATTGATTTTATAAGTCGGACAAGTAAATGTCCGGCGAATAAACGAAAATAATTTTCCATTATCTATTTAAGATGTAAAGTGCAATATGCAAGTATAAATTATAAATAAAATTTTTATACAAAATTTTTATGTAAAATTTTATATGAAATAGATAAATTATATTATTATTTAGGGATTGAAATATATATGTTTCGTTTAAAAATTATGATATGATTTAGTCGTCTTTTAGTCATCTTTTAGTCATTTATTGGCTTGACAGATTAGTGACTAAATTCGGATCATGAGTCGATTTTTAGTCGACTTTTCGTCGGTTATTGTTTCTAACTAAAAGACGTCTTTGACGAAAATATGTCCAGTTTTAGTCGTCTTTGTGCCCTGTGGGTATTAATTTTACGGAGTGTGATATTTTTGAATTCCTTAAAACGAAGAAATTCTCATGTAAAAGAAAAAGAATAAAATACATATTATATGTTTGTATATATATATATATATATATATATATATATATATTTTATATATCATATACATATATATTTTAATACACTATTTTTTATTTATAATTGAGTAGAATAAAATGTTATCAAATTTGTTACATTTTTTGAATAAAATTTATTACATACTCTCTTAACTTATTTAAAATATGATAAAATATAATAATAAACTTTTGTACAATTTTGTTAATATCTTTAAATAAATTTTTTAATTGTCTAATCAATTACGCGCATATGCAAAATGCAGCTTGGCTTCGTAAAAACTGCATTTGCGCATATAATATGTGATTAATCAAACATGTTAAAAAAAAAAATTAAATAAAAAAATTAAAAAGTTAAATATTTATCTTCTATTATTGCTCTTTAAATAATACTATTTTGTTAAATTGTTGCCTTATATTTATATTGTTTTCGTTATCAGTTATATTGCGGGAGGATCCCAGTTGCGCGCAGAAAGAAACGGACATAACCAATCATATCGACCGATGCTTAGAGGCTTAGCACGGTTGACCAATAAAGAGTCCGAAAGAGTTCTGTGTCCGATTTATTCTGTGCGCAACTGGGCCTCACTCTATATTGCGCCTTATAAAATAAAGTCTAATTTAAATGTATTTAAAAGCAACTGCTCTTATTAAATGAACCACATGATTTTGTAACGGAATTTGATCGCAGGAATGCTGTTCCAAACTATGAAATACATTATTGTTCTCAATAAAACGATGCAACAATGATGTAAAAAAAAGCTTCTGACATTTGTTTTAATAAACGCTTGCCGCCACTTTTGCGAAGAACAAAACGAATAACAGTTTCTGCTGTTTTACAAATAACAATTACATCATACGAAGGGAGTGTCAATTCTCCACGATTTTTAATATTAATAAAAGAGTATTCCTGATGTATTTCATTTCCTTAGAGAGCTCTGACACAAATATCACAATGTATCACATTTTTCAAATTGCAACAACAAAACCAGCAAGGTAAACAATTATTCGAGTAGAATATTGAGAAAGTTGAACTGTATCTGGCAGCAATGGTAAATCTAACCCTAAATCTAAAGGTAGCACATATTCGTTTTAAAAACGTTTTACAAATGTTTCTTCAAAACGTTTTATAACCAACTCTTGAAAACGTTTCTGATTGGTTAAAATGTCCACTTGAAGAACGTTAAAAGATACGTTTCTTTTCTAATAAAAAAACGTTTAAAAAATGTTAAAAATATGTTTAAAATATATTTTTTTTCTTTTATTCGTAAAACGTTTGGTTTTTATGGAATTAATAAAGAATACATTTATACACACTCTAAAAATGAATCAGTGTACTGAAAACAGTAAACAGACTGTTACTGATATACAGTTGATATGCAGTTATAAGTTATTATAGCACTGTAAATCAATAATATTTCAGTAAAAGAATTAGTAACATTGACTGTTTTACTTAGTAATATTAATCTATCTACTTCGTATAAAATTAAAAATTTTATTTATATTTACATGCATATTAAAATATAAATGTTAAATAGATGATGATTTATTTTACATCTCTAATATATAATGAACAGATTATGTTTATTCGCCAGACATGTCCAACTTATAAAATCGATTTAATATCTGAAATTCCTCTATTGATATTGTATCAGAAATTAAATCGAAGTGATACTTTTAATTTTATCTGTCGCCTTTTGCAAGTTTTATATAATCCTCATGATTAAAACGTAAGTACGAGAAAAATAGCGCGCCATAGCGGTAAACAAACGAACTAGCGATTACTGATTTTGCGGTAAAATTTTACTCCCACTGACTATAATTAATAAGATATAAGATAAAGTAACAAAAAAGAAATGTTTCTACTAGAGATCAATGAAATAATGATTCTTACAATTAGTGATCTTATCCATATATTTGTAAATAGAAATTAATATAGTATATTTTCATACTAATTATATATGTGTATATATATATATATATATATATATATTGTATGTATATATATGTATGTATGTATGTATGTATGTATATGTATATGTATGTACATATGTATATATAGGTTAAAATTAATTTGAAATTAATAAAAATTAGTTTTTATTTTGTCTATAGAAACGTAAAAAATACATTTCCTTAACTATGATTTTAAAAGCGTTTCTATAAGAACGTTTCTTATTAATGCTTTACGGTTAAAAAATATTGGATATGTTTAAGAAATGTATTTAAAACGACCGTGTGCTACCTGGGAAATTATTGTTATTATCTTCACAACTGCTATCCTCGAATAAACGTGATGTTGAAATCGATTGATTAATAATATTTTCAGGATTCAAAGAAATATGTAAAATTGCAAAGGGATGCAATTACCGGTTTTTATATCTGCAATCTCAGTATGAATAAGAAGTTTTTTGTAAGCGGCTTTAAATTGTCGAACTCTTGGATTATTGTTGCAACCTCCTTTAGCTCTTATGCAACCAAAAAATAATTCAATGTGATCTTGACTAAATTTGTAGCATGGTATGTACTGTAAAATGTCTTGACTAACAACTAAGTTATTGTAAATTTCTAATAAACTTTTGATACACATCATAAAATCAATCACTCCACATTTGCTTTTCAACTGAATTAACAATGAATTATTTTTTGTTGTTCGCAATTATGCAAGATAATTATAACCTTCATTTAATTTGTTAATAATAATGGAGCTAATATTTTTACGCAATGGTTGTTTAAATCATCTTTGTTTCATGTTTATCGAATTAAAAATATCAAAAAAATCATTTATTAATCGTATGAATTATGTTGTTGGTGTTGAATTTGCAAATTCGGAATATTTTAAATCATTTTTACAAAAATCTATTGCATCAGCTACAGAGGCACTGAAGATTTGCGCTGCAAGTTTTATTTTCATTTTTTGTGTTTGATAATTTACATGCTGTGTTCTTAACTTATTGGCTAAATGTAATCCTTTATTTGGATTTCATGAAACTTCATGAAATATTTCCATCGGATGATATTACCCTCGTCATCAATTATTGATTTATAATTTCCAAGATAATTACGTAATAATTTAAGAGCATGGCAAGGATCAAGAAATACCACTACTTTTTGTTGTATTGTTGGATGAAAGAAATAAGTCTGAAAAGATGTAGTAGACGTTAAATTGCATCCTAAAATATTGCACATTGTTAAATTAACAGGACTCCATCAAAAGTTAGTGCTATTATATGATGCTCATACAAAGTTTTTAATGCTTTAATAACTAAATTAGATTTCTGTTCGGCATTCAAACCGTTTATCAAAAAATATCCTATGGGAATTTTCAAGGACTGATTTATTACATTTACTAAAAACACTAATGCTTCTTTAATTATAGCGTTACCACAATCAATATCAGGTCCTAAATCGACATATCCTATAAATTTTTGACCATCATATTCGACATGTCGTCTTATGGCCATTTCGTCACATATAAAAACATCGGATAATTAATTAGTTCGCGTTATTTAATTGACTTTAATGCTTCCGCATTAAAACTCGGCTCATCGTTAACTGATTTGTACCATTTACAAATTGTCTTAGGATGAGGCAAATATGTATCAAATTTTTTTCTAACAAATGCGTACGCTCGTGGCGAGTAAACATGTAACGTTAGAGCAAACGATCTTAACTTGGGCTCGTATTGTTTACGCATTAATGTTTTCTTAATTTTATTATTTTGACGCAGTAATAATTGTTTATTGAACGTACCTATATTATTTAAAATATCCAACTGTTGCGAATCACGAAAATTTTTCTTCTTCAAAGATGTCAATACATTTTTCAAATTTGCAATACATTTCGCGGATCTTCTCTGTTTTTGCTGCAAAGATCTTATCTTCTTGATAAAATTTTTTCTTACATTAATCAATGCAGTTTCAAGTATTTGTTTCCTTGGTGTATTTTTCAACAAACGCGGTGAAACAATCGTTTCCTGGTGTTTAACTTTGCGTGGTGTCCTTAGTTGGTCTATATCAATCGCTGTATAAAAATATACAATAATTTAATGAAATTAATTAAATATCTATAATTATTTGTTTCAAGGCTCAAGAAGATAGACTAATTATTTTAATAAGAAAGATTAATTACTTTTAGAAGTGCTAGGAATACTAATGGTACTATCAATCACTGTTCCAGAAAAATCAAAATTATCTTCTATAGTTTCTGTAAAGAATCATTATTTAAATTATTTTCTGTTATGTTATCAATTTTATAACAATCTATTCTTATTATTGAGTCTTATAAACAATCTATTCTTATTATTGAGTCTTATAAACAATCTATTCTTATTATTGAGTCTTATAAACATACTTTGTTCTGCATTAAGTATTTTTTCATATGTCTTGGTGTCAATATTTTCTTGATTTGTTGTGTTTAGTAATTTGTTTTTTTTTTGAGGAGCTTCTATGTTACTTAAATTTGCATTGCCCTGTAAAAAATATATATTTTCTTAAATGTTACATATTTAACCTTATATTTATAATTTAAATTAATCCTTTATACTTTATATACAAATGGGATGACACCAGGCCGGATTCTAATATAATAATCATCTCTTCTGTCAAAAGCGCTTTCTTCAAAATGTAGCGAGCACAATTTTGCATTTTCTGGTATATCGATATTTAAATTCATACTTTCTAGCCATTTTTTTCGTTTTTCTGGGTTCTTAGGTATTCTATAATTATACAATAATTAATATTAAAAATTATAACGTATAAAACAGTTATAACATATGTAATTTGATTGCAATAAAGCACTTACTTATGAAATGTAATTTTTTTGTTATGAGATTGTTCCCATTGCAGTTGAGCTTTATTCTTCCGACTATTATTATTTCGGCTTTTACAGCCTTTTGCCCAACAATCCGGCATTATTATTAACAACACACACTCGCGTTATTATTAATCACACGCGTTATTTTTTTATGAATATATTTAGAAATGATTCGCTCTGACACAGCGATTTCAGATGATAGATGTTGATTTCACGGAATCTCTCATATATTACTCGATTCACGTTCATGCGACGTGAAAATAAACGCTAAATCTGAGCCATCTAAGATGGCCGCGACTGTAAACCCCTTACCCCTCAAGCTTTACTCCCCTCGTCTAAAAAGTACTTTATGCTCTATCCTGTTATTTCTTACGTTCATGCGCAATGCTCAGTCTAGTGTATATGTCGATGGCAGCAACCAATCAACGAAGCGGTATTTTCTACGCCACTGCTGATATCGCTTCGCTAATTGGGTAAAATCATCGACATATACTGGATTGAGCATTACGATAGACAGGCGAGTGCCCGCTGTAGAGAGAAAAGTACTACATGGGAGGCCTATGGCCGGTATTCATAGTCCGATCTTATATTTGAGATCGTCTTAAGTTCGAGCTTGAAATGCTACGCAGCTATTTGATTGGTTGAATGAGGTCTTAAGTCAACCTCCAAGCAGACTTAAGATGATCTTAAATATAAGATCGGACTATGAATACCGGCCTATGTCTGTCTCTTTTGCTAGTATCTTATTGGTAATTTTATTTCCCGCCTCGATGGGCGGGAACCAATTTTCAAATTAAAGTTTTCCGTCATCTTGGATCCGCCATTTTTTTAACTACAAATTCATAATTATCGACTACAAACACATAATAATATTTTTGCATAAATACATACACATTTTGTTACGAATTTATTCGTAATCGTATAGTTTTGAGATTTATGCTCACTTTATTATCCGCTATTTTTAATTTGGACCGTAATTAAAATTTACGCATATAGTATTTAAAGCCTATACAATTTCCAACAAATTAAAAAAAAATTTTAATCCGTTAAGAATTCAATTGTCGGCTGAATTTTATCCACAAAAGGCTTTTTTCCCCACTATGCGGTGTTACATTTTTTTTCTGTAACTGTAACGATAATGTAGTTATATTTTTTTAGCAATGATAACGAATTTAACAGTTACTTTTATCGATACTTTACTCTTATCGTTTTTTTTTGAAAATATTTATAACATCGTATTTCCGTCATAATCTTTAGTTATCGAGCGACATACATAATGAATGATAATACTTCGGATGAAATTTATTGCTCTGAGAGAGATTAATGACATCATTAGTCAATCACAGTTACTTCATTCTTTCGAAATGGATGTGATTAGTCAGCTTTTAAGGGGGATAAACACTGTGACGGCCGAAAAAATAGCTCTTTTTAGCGATTTTTTTGTGATGTCCATAAAGCAGGTAGATCAATAAATGTTTTTGTATTGAATTAGTCATCTTTAGAACTCTTGAAAAATATTTTTTATTTGATGAAATACATTTTTATCTTGGTATAAAATGTGTCTATAGTAGACTCAGCACGCCATGCAAGTTCCATCGGCCCTGCACCTGGAGTCCTTAAAAGTCATTTGAAATAAAAAAACCCAAGATTTCCTTAAAGTATATGAGTGTAGTTAAGCGTATGAAAATTTTAATATTTTAATTATTCGCAAAATAATGCACGTTCAAAAAAAAAGTTCGGAAATTGTCCAAAAAAAATACCGTTTTTTTGACATTTTTTTGGGAAATTTTAATTGTAAAAAAAAATCCGTATGCTTAACTGAAACTCATATACTTTAAGAAAATCTTGGGTTTTTTAATTTCAGATGACTTTTAAGGATTCCAGGTGCAGGACCGATGGAGTTTGCGTGGCGTGCAGAGACACATTTTATACTAAGATAAAAATGTATTTCGTCAAATAAAAAAATATTTTTTAACAGTTCTAAAAATGTTCTAATTCAAATTCAAAAATTCTAATTCAATAAAAACATTTATTGATCTATCTGCTTTATGGGCATCACAAAAAATTCGCTAAAAAGAGCTATTTTTTTCGGCCATCGCAATATTTATCTCCCTTAAATTTGACGTAATATCGCGCGAGAGCACAAAAAGAATATAAATTTAACTGAATTTATAAACTGAATTTATAAATTTAATGGAAATTAAAATTTTTTTATTTACATATAAAGTTACATGTTAAGCGCTTTAAAATTTATATCTCTTTAAATTTTTTACGGTTTTGTAAATTTAAAATAAAAAATTTATTGCTTTTATTAATATTTTAATAAAAAATATTACCAAATTAAATTTTTTTTATTTAGCTTTATCTGTTTTTAGCATTAAAAGTAACGAATCATTACTTTTGAAGTAACGATAACGGATTAGTTATTTATTTTTAAAAGTACTTTTAAAAGACACTTAAATAAAAAAAAAATATAAGTATATAAAAGCATGAATAATAATAAAAATTTTTAAATTAATATGGAAGATAATAATGTAATATATGCATACTTATTTTTATTCAGTAGTAGAACGAAATCGCTGATGTATTGTTCTAAACTCTTAGTTTGATTCAAGATAGATGTTTTTATAATAATGCGTATATGTTCCGTTGGACCTGTATGTTAGATGCATTTGTAAAATTATCTTATATTAATATCATGCTTTTGCATCTATTTTAAGCGCATCTATTTTTATTCATTGCAATAAATTGTCGCCTATTAATATTTAATTTTATAATTTGTATTTTTCATATCTGGAAATTTCCATAAATTTCCTTTTTTATGAGATCTGTATTGAATTAGCTCTGAAATTTTTCGAATTGACACCAGATTTCTAATAACTTATGAAAAATATGTTTCTTTTCATATTTATATATATTTTGATGGTTTTAATTCTGACTGCCATATTAAATCCGTCATTTTGAATTTTTGAAATTTATCTTCAAATTTGTAATCCAGCTTTCTCTTATGCCAGTAGCCCTTTCCTTATGAATATTTTCTAATACAATATTATTGAGTTTTTTAGAAGGTTGCGTATTTAAGTAACTATAATATCAAAAAAATCTATATACTATTTATATGATAAATTTTTTGTTGATAAATTTTTGATAAACGGTGATCGATGGTTAAAACCATAGATGTCTATGATTAAGATATACTGAAAGTTATTTATAAAAGGATGATTCTCTATAATATATATTCTCTCTCCCTTCTCAATTATATATTCTATAATATATATCAAGATTATTAACGTTTGCGGAACTTTAACATTATATGAATATTTACCTTCTTCTGTTAATAATTTGTTTAATAAGAGAGAGGAATTAGTTGCTGAAATTTTTTGCATGTTATTCAGAAATATGATCTTGATAATATATGTCAAGATTAAAGTAATTAGTATAAGTAAAAATAAATATTTATTTATTTTATACTTCTTTAGTTATTCCCATTTTATGTCCTCGAATGTAAACATGTAAAAAGTTTCAGTCGTCGCTCATTGTTTATTAAAAACTTATTAAGAAAAGGACTTAAATGAAATGTACTATTTCTAATATAACTATAAATATATAACTATACATTTTTTTTATTTTTAATAAGAAATATGTAATGAAATATTCAAGTAATCTCTCTTGTCTATTAATCTAGACATTCTAGACAATATATCCCATATCATAGCTCATCAAAATCGGAGGGGGACTTTAGAATATACTACAAATAAGTGGTATATTCTTAAGTTAAGAAGAATATGCTACTTATTTTTAGAATATAAAGATAAGTGGTATATTTTTAAGTTAAGAATACAAATTTTTCAGTATAGTAGCGCATGTGTTCCGTTGGACACATATTTCTAAAATTTTATATTAATGTTATGTTTTTTATGTATAAGCATAACAATTTTGGTTAGTTGCAATAAATTATCGTTCTTCAACATTTAATTTTATAATTTGTATCCTTTTTATCTTTATACTTCCATAAATTTACTTTTTTATAAAGTCTGTATTGGTTTAGCTCTTTGAAATTTTTCAAATTGGCATCAGCTTTCTAATAACTAATGAAAAATATGTTTTTTTTCATATTTATACATATTTTGATGGTTTTAATTCTGACTATCATATTGGATCCATCATTATGAATTTTTGAAATTTGTCTTCAGATTTGTAATCCGAAGCGATCCGAAAAACAAAAAGTACAACTCACAAAAATCCACTGCCAAAACAAAAAGAATTGCATCAATCAAAGGAGTAAATTAATTATTGCCATAATATATGATAATATAATTGTTAATATTGTTATAATATAATTGTAAATTGTTATAATATATAGATATGAAAAATTATAATATACAATTATCATTAACATATATTTATTGATAAGTCATGGCTATCTCTGCAAGATTCTGATGAAAATAGTGCCGCCATGAGAAGTGAGCACTATATTAACAAATACGGATGACGCGCGCATATAACGATATAGAAGTATTTCTGAATACAACTTTATAGCTGAGTTTTGCACTAGATATACTTTAAGTTTTGGTATAAAAAATTTAAAATTGAGAGGGGGAGAAAGACTTCGAAAAATGACATTTTCGAGAAATTTGATTACACTGTTATAAATCGAAACTATAAAACTTTTATTTGAAACATTTTTGTATCTTTTATCGTTTGGATGGTATTCGCGAAATACAAAAACTAATTTTTTTCAAAAGGACGTTTCCCTTATGGCCGTAATGGGCTTATAGCACGTATAAAGAAATACGTGTCTGTTATTTTAGTCTAAACTACAATATATCCGAAGCTCATCAAAATCGGTGGAGTCCAGCCCTTTCCTTATGAGTATTTTCTAATACAATATCATTAACTGATGCAGCAATTGACAGCGTTAGAAAAAGATGGACATTTATTACTAATAATTGTACTATTCCTTAGCTTGAATTCATCTCAGCAATTAGATTCGTATTGAATTCAACGTTTTTCGTTTTTAATGGTGTCATTTATCAACAAACTTATGGCACTCTTATGGGTTCTCTTTTGTCTCCTATTATTGCTAATATTGTTTTTCAGGATTTGGAGGATAAAACTCTAGCAAACTTGCAATTTACTCCTTCATTCTACGTTAGATATGTTGATGATGTGGCTTTATGTATCCCGTCTTCGTCTGTCGAAGATACATTAAATATATTTAACTCATTTCACCTTAGAATCCAATTCACCTTAGAAGTGGGTGAGAATAAAAGACTCAAGTTTTTAGACG